GGCATGAACAGATGTACCAGAATCCATCACCCAGGAATCTATACTACTCTCTACGCTACAGATTAACGCATCATCACTATTGTCTGAGCAGCTTTCTGTAGTATTCACTTCCTTTTTACCATTCGGACACTGACTTCTAAAATGTCCCGTCTGTTTGCAATCCCAACAGACAATTCCTTCTCGATGCTTGGACTGACTCTTGCCTCTACCACGGTTGCTTCCTCTTTCATTCCTTCTTCCTCTGCCTTCAGTACTCAACAGTGCACTCGAAGAATCCCCTGAACTTCTGCGTCTGATGTCTTCACCTAGAATCAAGTCCCGAATTCCTTCAAAAGTAAACTTAGTAGTACCAGATGCACTACTAACTGCAGTCACTGTTCCAGACCAACTGTCAGGCAAAGAAGATAAAAGCAGCAACGCCTGAAGTTCATCATCAAACTTAATTCCAACTGATCCTAACCGAGTTATGACCGAATTAAACTGGTTGATGTGAATGGTAACTGAAGCACCCTCCCTCATTCTGGTGTTAACCAACTGTCTGATCAAAAACACCTTGTTCAATGCTGAGGGTTTCTCGTACATATTCGACAAAGCTTTCATTAACCCATGCGTAGTCGTTTCATTGACTATGTTGAAAGCAACACTCTTCGCCAATGACAACCTAACCACTCCCAAAGCTTTCCTGTCCAAAATCGCCCAATCTGCATCACTCATCTTTTCTGGCTTTTCTCCCGATAACGTTTGGTATAAGTCTTTCTGATAAAGAACATCCTCGATTTGCATCTTCCAAAACCCAAAATCACTTCCATCAAACTTTTCAATCTTTATCTTTTCATCTGCCATTGTTTCCATACACGGCTGAAAAACTGATCTGAGATTGAAAAAACCAATAACGAACTAACCTTGGCAGCGGCTATTCGGAACCCTAGCAGCGGCGGCTAAACAAAACCCTAGCAGCAGCGGCTGTTCACAGCGGCGGCGCGGTTACTGTTCACAAGACAGTACAGACCGTATTCTGCAGCGGAAACTATGACGGTGGTGGAACTGATCTTCAAACCCTTCGAAACCCTAATCTTCGATTTGAACCTGATCTCCACGAACCCGAGGGAAGACTTCAACGATCACGAACCTAAGGCTCTGATACCAGTTGTTGGGGTATCTAAGAATACTGAATAGCAAACCACAACCAAACAAGAACACACACAAAACAGAAATCAAAACGGAGAAAACCGGAACACAAGATTTATAGTGGTTCGGTCGGCTGACCTAATCCACTTTGCAACTAGGGTTTTTATTATCCAGGTGCTCACAGAATTACAAGTACAGAGATCCCTATTTATGAAGATTAAACTAGGGTTGAAAACTTAATCCCCAAGTTAGGCCCAAGCCACATAGAGAATTAGGGCCGGCTAAATTAAAAACCTAATTTACTGCCATAGTGCCATATGGGTCGAACCAAGACTAGGGCCGGCTACCCTTCTTGGTCGAGCCTCCACACTCAATTCGCCCAACAGGGGGGGGCTGTATGAACTTTTGAATGTGTAAATCCCACTATCATCCCATCTCCATTTGTGTATATCATTTCTGCTTATTCCGTTGGTATTCCATTTATCCCCATTAAACAGATAGTGCACTTTTCAGTGACATTTAATGGTCTGCGAACAAGTTTCAAGAAAATGATTCTTTCTATCTGGTAGCCATCTTTCTTTCCAAATATTGATGCTGTCACCTTTACCCATTTTCCTTGTTACTCCGTTCCATCCTTAACCAGAACTTTAGTCTCCAGAAGGCCTCTCTATAAGTAGCTTAGGTTGTTACCTATTAAAGGTCTTTTAAAAAAAGTTGAGATCATATATATGCAATAGGAGGAATGCATATAAATATTAGCAATTAACAATTGGACACTAACAATCAATGTTGCAGATTAATTATTAGTCTTTTAACATATATGTACACATTGTATCACAACTTAAAACCAGCATAAACATGGCATCACATTTTATTTCACTTGATTCCAGTGATTCTTTGACCTGTCAATGACTATATACCTTTCCCACTCTGTTTAAGTATCAAATTTGTATACCCACCTTTGAGACCCCACTTTATTGGACTTTACTGTGTATACCCACCTTCGAGACCCTACAATTTCTTGTGTTTTTTCTCATATTAGCCAAGAGTTGGTGCTGCACTTTTATGTTGTGAGAAATGAATCCATGAAGCATATTGCAAAAGACTTATTCCAACCACGGTATTCTAATTTGTATTTGATTAAAGCAGGATATTTATCTCCATACAAATTGTCTGGCAACATTGGCAAATATGGCACCACATGCCCATCGCCTTAGTGCCTATGCATCACAGCGATTGGTTAGCCTTTTTGATATCCTTTCACGGAAGTATGTATCCTATCGCTGTGTATCTGATTGGTTTTCAACTGCTGCTGAAGTGTTTGCTAAATCTTGTTTGATATTATTGCAAAATAGATATAATAAATTAGCTGAGATGAAAAATGATAGGATGAGTCTTTCCAATAGTGAATCGTTGGAAGAAAATCTACCAGAAGACAGTGTATGCCACACTTCCACCTTGATTAGCAATTGATGAAATCATGTTCATCCTCTTGTTAGCTTATTTAGTTCATATAGTGTGGATTCCATTGTTGCAGTCAGCTGAGCTACATATATACACAGACTTCCTCAGGATTGTTCTGGAAATACTGAATGCTATCTTAACATATGCGCTACCTCGAAACCCTGAGGTACATAGATTTTGTTTCAAGTTTTATCTGTGTATTGTCTGATTTGACTTTATACATATCAAGTATGTTTCCCTTGTCCCGACCCCAATTATCTGTGTTTCCTTTTGCACCTAGCAGGTTGTTTATGCAATTTTGCATAGGCAGGAGGTTTTCCTTCCTTTTAAGAGTCATCCACGTTTTAATGAGCTGCTGGATAACCTCTTTACGGTATGCATCTATCCGGACTGCTATTCTTGTGACGTCTAAGGTATATTTTGACTTAGTGTGGGATTATGGTTCTGTATGATGCCTGCTGAGATTGGTGTCTTAAGATGAACATGTTGGGAGATAAAAGCGGACCACATTAAATAGCTTTTTATCTGAAACAAGACAAGGTACTGGTTACACAGAGGGGGGACAAATAAAGAACTGATTAGGGGGACAAAGTGAGAACTGATTAGGGGGGACAAATGGAGAAATGATTAGGGGTAGTAATCATTCTATCAATAGAACATAGCAATCAGAGGTCATTTATTATTTACTATTTAGTCATTTAACCCATGATTTATTAAATTGTCTTTTACGTGGAAAACTTGCTAGAAATAGTTGAAACTAGGAACAAAAAATGGAGAGAATTTATGGTCTGAAATAGAGCATGGTGGTGCCAGTACATATGGCATAACATAGTTGAGTTTACTTTGTCACCATTAATTGGACAGCAGTCATCTTTCAATCTTCTTCCAAATGTTGTGTAGGTCTTGGACTTCTTTAACAGCCGCATGGATGCACAAAATATGGATGGTGAATGGTCAGTGGAGAAGGTACTCCAAATCATTATTGTAAATTGCAGGTCTTGGAGAGGTGAAGGCATGAAGGTAACAGCAGACGTTTGTATTATATACTCCCTCCGTCCCCAATAGATCTTCCCATTAGCCCTCTTTTTGTCCCCCATAGATATTCTCATTACCTTTTTTAACATTTGAAATACCACAATTACCCCACTTTATTTATTACACCTCACCCACCTCATTTAATACACTCCACCCATTTTTATTAAAGGTATTTTGGTAAACTTTCACCTTTTTAACTCTCCTTAAAAACCACAAAAGTCAAAACGAGAAGATCTTAGGGTGACGGAGGGAGTATATAATAGTCTCCAATTTGAAATATCTTTACCATGATTCTTATCGAGAAGATTATTTAATTTGGACAGATGTTTACGCAAATGCGTTTTACCTATGAACAAGAGAGTCATCCAGAGGAGTTCTTCATACCATATGTGTGGCAGTTGGTTCTATCTCAGAGGTACCGTTGATGTACAAAATCAACTGTACCATTAAACACCTCGAAAGTTTCCAAAAGGATTCCTTTTCATTCCATCATTCAATATAAATGTTGTTTTATATGTTCCTTTAATTGATATAATAAATTCATGCGTTCTTTTCTTTTTGCTTTGGGTTGATGTTGGCTGCAGTGGTTTGGATTTTTCCCCGAATAGCATAAATCTTTTTCCTGTTGACATACCCATGGATGTAAGTGCCTGCTGTTTTTCCTTTTGCTTATGATGTTTTCTTAGTCTCTGAAACCCCTTTTTACGATTTTACCCTTTTTTTACTCCGACCCCACCCGGTGGGACAAGGCTTTGTTGTGGTACCCTGCCTAGCTCTATAGGTGAATGCAAAGCGTTTGTTGATTGGTTGTTTTGGTTTCCTTCTGTATGTATGTTACAAAGGTCGTTTTGTGCTTGGAACAGGATGATGGTTTTGCTGGTTCAGATGCAGACAAGACGCAAAATGGCGATCCAAATGGAAATAAGCAAGTTGGAATATGGGTTGACTGATCAGTTCCATAAGTTGGTCAGACGTGTATATATAATATATATACATATATATATGGACTTATATACGCACGCATTTCCGCATGTGTGCGTATACATCTTACATATATGTATTCTTCTCATTCTTTTGTGTTTATATATAGCTCAAGAGTGTGCAGGTGCTATAATATAGTTCAACTTTTTACCTGTGTATAATGAAGGATGATGCTGGTGAAGGTCAACCTCTTGGCCCCTTTTTCTTCCGCTTTAAGTTTTCTTGTGGATAGCCATGCCAATCATGACCCGACCGTCCTGTTTGGGCCGCACGGCCCGAACTGGCTTCCAATGTTTTGTTGCATCTTTGTGATTGTGTATATAGCAGCCACTAGGTAGAGTAAAACATGCATGTTCCCTAATACTCTCTCCGTCCCAAAAAGATTTACACCTTTTAAAAAAAGTGCGTCCCACAATCTCCTACCCATTTCTATTAAAAAATCACTTTTACCCCTTACTTTTTCAAACCCTACCTATCACATTATACCTTTTTTTTAATAATCTACACATCACACCCTATTTTTACCCATCACATCGAGGGTATTTTTGGAAAGTCAACACAAAATTATCCCTCCCTTAATTTCAACTTTAGTAAAAACGTGTAAATCTTTTTGGGACAGAGGTAGTATTTTTTACGGCCCAAGGTGCAAAAAAAAGAAGGAAAAAAGAAAAACTGAAGCCCTATCAAATGCAAATGCCTTGAAATTTATTAAAGCATTGAGAAATATTTAATTAAACCTGAAGCTCTATAAATACAAAAGTAAATGTTTCACTACAAAGGAAAAATATGCAAAACCAAATATAATAAGCTAAAGTGCCCTAAATGATACTAGTGTGACACATTTTGAAAGGTTCCTTTTCTATGATATAAAGGTAAGAGTAAATTCTATAATTGGTCCTTTATAAGAGGAGGGTTTCCCTATTTAGTCATCTATTATCAAATACTCCCTCCGTCCCAAAAACATTTACACGTTTCAAAAAAATTGTGTCCCACAATCTCCTACCCACTTCTATTAAAAAACCACTTTTACCCCTTACTTTTTCAAACCTTACCTATTACATCATACCTTTTTCTAATAATCTACACATCATATCCTACTTTTATCCATCACATCAAGGGTATTTTTGGAAAATCAACACAAAATTATCCATCCCTTAAGTTCAACTTTAGTCAAAATGGGTAACACTTTATGGGACGGAGGGAGTATTACCCAAGTGGTCCTTCTTTTATGAGTACCTTTCCACAAATAGTCTTTTTTTATCTTCTATAATGTTGGTGTTAATTTGAGGGTAAAAGTGTAATTTCACAAAGATAATATATCTTTTTTGTCATACACAATTCCAAATGTTGTTCTGTTTCCGTCGTTTGTGAATTACAGTCGCTTTTTACGACAACTATAGTCTACAAATGTGATCTTTCGTCAGAATTCTAGCACACAATCATAGTCATTATTTTTGTGTTATCTGCTTAACCAATATCAGAACACGTCACTAGACATAATGTTGACGTTAAATTATATTTTTAACCTTTAAATTAACATCAACACGGCAGAAGATAAAAAAGGACCATTTGTGGAAAGGTACCCTTAAAAAAAGGACTACGGGGGTAATATTTGATAATAGAGGACTAAATATGGAAACTTCCATGTTATAAAAGACCAATTATGGAATTTACTCTAAAGGTAATTTAATACTCCGTAACACTTAAATTGGTGTTTGGTGATAATGGAATAGAATTCACTAGCATAAAAAAAATATTTTATTTCACTTAAAATGAGATTCTTTTGAAGATCTCTTGTGAGTTGTGAGGGTACACCACAGTAGGATGAATGGTTTGACAAAAAAGTCAAAGTATTGTACTCCGTATTAAGGATCATTCAAAGACTTAAAAAAAGAACTTTTGGATTGGAGCGAGTTTTAAAATGTACGAGGAAAACAGAACAACTATATACCAGCTGTGGCGTTGTAGTATCCATATACAATACACAATTATATACGGAGTACAAAAAAAACACAGAAAAATACGAGTAGAGATTATTAAGCGAGCTAAAACAGCAGTAGAGAACCCTCGATGTCATACCCCATCTTCTCCAAGTTAGGACAAACGGCGAACTGAATCATCGGCGGCGGCCCGCACGCCAGCGCCAGCGTGGTGGCAGATGCCCCCGGAATATGCCCTCTCAGGATCTCGGCATTGATATACCCGGTGCTATACTTCCACCCTTCCCGCGACTCTTGAACAACGTACCACACTTTGACCCTGCCCGGATATTTCTCCGCCCATGCGTCAAGCTCGCCCCTCAATGCAATATCCGCTTCCGTCCGGTTAGCGTAGACCACGTGCATCTCCGTTTCGTCCCCCGGGTCCCTCAAGATTGCCTGCATGGCTTGGTAGATCGGAGTAATCCCTGTCCCTCCGGCGATCATGGAGAGCTTCGTCCCGAATTTGGGCTTACCATGGACAAGAAAATTTCCCCTCCCTTTGTACTCAATGTGCCCTACTGGGCCCTTGACCTGGAGACAAGAGCCCAGTTGGAGCAACTCTAGGTGTTGGGACATTTGGCCCCCGTTTGGAAATCTGGGGTGGATTTCTTTGAAGTAAATCCTCACGACCAGGTCAAAGTATCCGACCTGGTCAGGGGCGCTGATGGGGGTGTATGCCCGCATGCAGAGTTTCCCGTCTACAATGGCGAACAAGAAAATGTGCTTTCCAACCGGTAAGCCGAGGACTTGGTCATCTCGGGGGAGAGCGAACCTGAATAGCCTCACGTCGCGGGAGATGGATTCCTTGTGCACGAGTTTGCACAAGATTTTCTCGTGTGGGACGACGAGCACTGCATCTGCATTGCCCGTCAGTCCCATTGCACCCATTTCTCTTATCGGTGCTAAATGGTTGGGACCGTGGACGGATCCGTTTGCCGAAGAGGGAGTAGACGAGGAGGAATCGGAAGTGTAGCCTCCCGAAGTGGTGACCACGACCTCCCCGACCCTATAGTCTTCCAAGAGCCCCCTCGCCTTATCGGAGTGGATGGAGTCAAACTCCTCCGTGCAGTCGGTGCCAGCGTTGATAAGGATGCTATCAGAGCCGCCTGGGTGCTCGTTCAAGAAGCGGGTGCAGTCGTAGACGTGGCCGTGGACGACCACCCAAGCGGAGTCCGTGGTGTTGTGCTTCTTCACCTCGGACATGGAGAAGGTCTTAGCGGCCGCGGTGTTGTCGAAGAAGGGCGACGACACGCTCTTCTTGAGAGCGGGTGTGGCATCGGAAGAACTCTCATGGTGCATTTGCTTGGACATCCATCCGCCCGGTTGGTTTCCGGGCTGCGTCGGGTGCTCAAACACTATCCCAATCTCTCCTTTGCGTGCTTTGCAAATGTTGGTCTTCACCCGGAACCAACAATTGTTCATCATTCCCTATATTTTACAATTGAAATTCACATTGGAATCAAATATAGGAATCAGCAATACGAGACATACATGCACAATTTGTTAAAATTTGAACTCCCTTTGAAACATGGAATTCATTTCAATTCTGATATTTAGTAGCACAAAAATATGTTGATCTTAAATTAGCAGTGTCAAAAATGAATTGAAATATATGTGAATTTGATTTCATCTATAAATTAATTTCATAGAATTTTAATTCTCAATTCAATTGCGCACCCACGCGGCTCGGATAGCATCCTTATCAACGCTGGCACCGACTGCACCAAATTTCAAATTTCAATTCAATTCCAATTATGTCAATTCCGTATAGTAATTAAATAAATTACCATGAGATTCCAAATGAGCTTTTGGGGTTGGGTATTATGAGTCTCATCCCAAGCCCGAACCGCAATTTGTTTGGCGCCCAACAAGGGGAGGACCTCGACCTGGAGAGACCAAAAGCACCAGCACCAGTATTTGCCGTACTTGTTTGGCTTCTCAGGACGGTCGAGTTGGCACACCATCCATGTCTCCCCTTCGTCCATTGTCACTTCCACTCGCGTCACTTTCTTCCCACCTCCTGCAACATTTCATGCCATAGTCATTCACATCATTTTTTTAGGACAACGCTAGGATACACTAATATGGGTATCCTATTTGTCCCCCACCCCCTCCATCACCATTTGGTGTACCCCTAACATTGCTCTTTTTTAGAACAACGCTAGGGTACACTAATATGGGTATCCTATTTGTACACCAAACTAATAAATACATACAAAGATACATACAGATATTATGTGTCTTTATTAGTTTGGTGTACGAATGATCCCATGCTAGTGTACTCCTAGTTTAATTCTATTTAATACTCTTTTTTCTCATTTTGATTTTTAGGTGATTTAATGAAGATCTAATTTGATGTTTGACCTTCCACAAGTGCTCTTAGGGCTTCTTTTTAAAAATAATGTTTCACGTCAATGCATAGTTAAGAATAATGTGAAAATTAATTGAATAATGTGAAAATTAATTAAAAAAACAAAGAGTATGATGAGGTGTGATGGATGGGATGCAGAAAAGTAGGGTTAAAGAGGGGTACTTTAGTCCATTTTGGAAAAATTAATATATTTTATGGGACGGATAAGATTAAAAAATTGAAATATTTTATAAGACGGAGGGATCGGAGTACAACCTTTCACCAAATAATTTTTTTTTAAGTTTCGTAAAAATATATTCAAGACATTTATTTAGGGATAGAGAAGTATTACTTTTTTCTTTTTTTTTTTTTTTTGATAAATCAAGAACGCAATTATTCTTTTTTTAAAAAGTACTTAGTGAAATCAAACTGGATATATATAGGGAGAATACATATATGTACCAGAATAGGCGTAGCCTCTAAGCGTGAAAGGGCATTGGGTGGTCCAAGCATTGATGGGCAAGATCTCTTCATGAGACGGCGTCGTAATGACGGAATTGATGTTCAGCTCATTGATTATGTACTCTGGCTTGTACCACCAAGCTACACCACCAACACAACCACTATTAAACTATTTCTTCCGTCCCAATTTATTTACAACATTTCGAATGATTTGCAAAATATCATCTCTTTTAAAATTATTTTAATTTCAAATTGGTAGAGTAATAAAAAGTAAAAATTACACCATTCAAAAGTATATATGAAAAGTTCTACAAAACAAGATGCGACAAGAATATTTTATTTTATCAAATGGTCAACCAAAACGAGTAAACAAACAAAAGTTATCGAGAGGCCGGAATAGTAAACGTGACATTCTTTCTGAGACGGAGGGAGTATTTTTATTGCACTATTACATACACAAAACTAACTACTACGTAAATGCTTACATTCATTTTTTTTACCACTGCCTACGTCCCAAAATATTTGCCACTTGCTTTTTTAGCACTTGCGGAAACTTTTGTTTATGTCTATGTTTTTACTAGTTATTTGATAAAATATAATATTCTTGACACCTCATATTTTGAAAAACTTTTCATGTAGTTTTTTGATATGTAAATTTTATTTTTTATTTCTATACCAATATATAAATAAAATTAATTGAAAAAGCTTGGTATTTTGCCTCGGGAATACAAGTGTGACAAATATTTAGGGACGAAGTAAGTACTTGGTCCGTCCCTGAGTGTTTGTCCACTTTTGACTTTTGGAACTGTTCATCGAAGCACTTTGACTCATCAAATTCTCTCAATGTGTAAGCCTAAAAATAGTCGTGTGTGATCTTGTTTGATTCGTCTTAACATATAGATTATTAATATATAATTTTTATAATTTTTTAATATACAAATTACAAGATAAAATGAATTAAAGAAGTGCATTGAATGGTGTGCAAAAATGAAAGTGGACAAACACTCAGGGACGGAAGGAGTAGTACTTTTTACATCAGAATTTTTCTGAAATGATGAACTTGAGTAAACTGATGCTAATTGTGGTAATATCCAATCATGGAACAGACTCTTTTTTGTCCATATCACTTTTCTTACTGTATTTTCTTCTCACTTAATTGGACCCCTAAAACTTTTTATTGGAGTCCTTTTATGCTTAATTGAGGTCCTAAAATATATTCTTATAGGTATAAAGACTCTACCTTAAAAGCTAAAAATAGTAAAGGCCCTTGCCCCATAACAACTCTTGTACGGATTTGCCCCAGAAGAGACAGTTAAGATCTACTTTCTTAGGAGAGAATTGTGGATCATAGACTAGATTACCATATAATGCAACTCCTTGTGATGGACTTAATTCAACTAAAAATTTAAGTTTGTGGTTGTAGACTCAAAAAAAAATTTTATATTCTAACACGCAAGCTCCATCGCGTGGAGACTTAAGAAAGTTTTTGCTTGAGTCTTGCACGTGAAACTCGTGACTTCTTGGTCAATATGACTCTGATACCACGTTTAGAAACCATCTTAACAAAAAATTTAAACTTGCGTTTGTAGCCTAGAAAAAGTGTTATGCAGACTCTAACATGTCCTTCACGTGTAAGAGTGGCCGCTTCAAGTCTTACACTTGAAACTTTAATTGTTTTAAATTGGGAGGTCGAATTCGTGACTTCTTTGTAATGGAACTAAAACTTAGGTAATGGAACTAAAATTGAAAATTTCAATTCTATTTTACTGTTGTTTGGTAGCACACAAAAATATGTAGATATGTACTTGGAATCATAATATAATTCCATATCAATTCTATATTAAATTTTGTATTACCAAACAAAATATTTTTAATTATGGAGTATAATAAAATTCTATATCAAATCATTAATTATATCAAACAAGGAATTTTGAATTAAATTGGAATTCAATTACATTCAATTTAATTTTAGATTTTTTTAAAATTCAATTGCAATTCTAATTTTGTGTATCAAACAAAGCTTTAGTGTCTTAACAGGACACTTCCCCCACTCCCCAAAAACTGCACAAATAGTTAATTTGTGTCTATGTGATTATTGCATTATTCTTTTTGATGTGATTTTATACTCAATTTATACTCAATGACTCAATGGTTTTATACTATCTTAATACGGAGTACGGAGTAGTTAAGAGCACGGGTAATGGTCATGAAGCCCCGGTGCTTCAAACCGGGACTTCAAACTTTCTCTCTCTGTCACGTCAGCTTTAACTTACACCAAAAATTCACTGGAAATGGTTTTGAAGCCCCGGGGCTTCAAACTGGGGCTTCAAACCTTCATTTTTTACATTTTTAAATATACATCTTCTAAATTTAAATTATTAAATTTTAATTAATTTATTAAATTTATATTACATTCATAAAAAAGTTTCATTCATTAAAAAAATATCACATCCATAAAAAAATAACAGTACAAAGAAATTACTAATTATTCAAGCAACTAAAAATATCTTCATTCAAATTCGAGTTGTAGTAAAATATTGCAAACTGAAATAATTCATCAAATAAAAAATACAGTCAATAAAAAAAGTATGTTAAATTTAATAAAAAACAAAACAAAATTACATTACTAAAAAAATTTGAACAAAAAAATATTACATTAAACAAAAAAATATAGAGTAAAAAAATTATGTTTGTGTATATTTTTTTTAAAGGGAGAGTGGGGAGGGAGAGGAAGGGTTTGAAGCCCGTTAAACGTTTGAAGTAGAAGAGATGAAGCTCGGATGAAGCCCCAGGGGGCGGTGTTTAACGCCCCCCTGGGCTTCAAAAGTAGCATAACGCCGAGTGGCGTTATATGTATTACCAGTGCTCTAAGTACGACACTTCCCCAGTAGTTCACTCCCCCAATAGCCTACCCCACAAGTCTTTATATCCTTGATAATAACTCCCAGATATCATACCCCCTCCCTCCCAAAATGTTCTTCTCATTTGATTTTTATTGGTCAAAATTTGTAAACTTTGACTATGATATGTGAAAAAAATACCTTGTATTATGGTATACCTTTAATACCAATATATCCCTAATGAAACGTAGTTTTTCAAATATCAAATTTTTATAAATTTTATTTATGTATAAATAAAGATAGTAGTGGTCAAAGTACAATTTTGGAGACCGTGAAAAATCAAATGGAAAGAACATTTTCGGATGGAGGAAGTATTATTTTATACTCCGTATATATTTCGGGGTATTCTTAATTTTCTGGAAAGAGCTCTTAGGTCCTATGTTATCCAAAATATACTCCAACGGTCCTTAAATTTTATGGTAATGTACCATTGTACCCTAATGATACATTCCATTTATTTGACCGTTATAATTCAACATTCTGTTACTTTGGCAAATATTGATCTTTAGATTAATAATCATTATTTTATTAAATTAAAATAAAATACATCAATTTGTCAAAGTATATTTCGAATAATGTGGAACATGAAAGCTCTTATAAAAAAATTGAGGGGACCCTAAAGTATATTTCAAAAAATATAAGACCTGGAGTTATTAACAGAAAATCGAGAGTATCCGGAAGTTACTTTTTGTAACTTTGTGTGTTATAAATAATTTTAAAAAAAATTTATGTAAGAAGGTGTATAAAAATGATATACACCCACTCTTGAAACGACTCAAAATGCAAATTTAACATAGGTGAAAATTTTAAAAACAAATTTTTATACCCCTGCCTAAAAGACTAAAAAAATCCTTTGCCCAAATACTCTGTATAGCACCAAAAGTCATCCACACATAGGCTTTGTTTGGGAACAGCGTTTTCGATTAGCGTTACCGTGCAGATTAATTCTGAAAACGCTAACGCTAAAGGGTACCGTCGGATAGCTTTTTCAAAACGCTAACGCTAATCTCTGACGCTGATGCCAAACGAGGCCATAGTAAAGTGTGTACCTTCAGCTTTAGCGAGTTCGGCGTCCACGTGGGACGGAAGGACCCTATTGTCCATGTAGTGATAGTAACTTCCCGATTCCCGAGTGGTGACAATGATTCTCCTAAGCCACTTCACCATCCTGCCGCCGATGAACCCCGGAATGATCATCCTCACCGGAAACCCGTGGTCCGGCGCCAGCCTCTCCCCGTTCTGCATGTACGCCACCACAATATCCCTCGCCGGATCCATCGCGACTTCCCTCGAAATGCTCGTCCCGTACTTCGACGACCCCCCGCCGCCGCCCCCGGCCAAGTCCTCCGCCCCTTCGAAGCACACGTTCCGGGCGCCCCTCCTCCGGCTGTAGATCCCGCACCGCTTCAGGACGGCGGCGAGTGGGACCCCTCTCCAGACGGAGGTGGAGACGGCGGCGGCGCCCCAGTCGAACCCGTTCGTCTTTCTGACCATGTTCTGTTCCTTGCGGCGGTTCCCGGCGCATACCAGAGTGGCGGGGAACTCGCGGTGAGGGAACTCGTTGACTAGCTGTTCCATTGTGAGGGTCATGGGCCGCTTCACGAGGCCGGTGACCTCGACGGTCCAGTCGTCCCATGAAGTGCAGGGGACGGCGCCGTGGTTCCGGACGTAGTGGAGCGGGACCGGGGTGATGAAACCGTGGCGCATCAGCCGGTCCAGCTGCGGCTCGGAGTTGAACGGGTGCTTCCCGGTCAGCCGGATCAGCGACGGGTTCCGCGGAATCCACCGGTCTGAAGTATTGGAGTCTCTGGCGTCGTGAACGGACGGCTCTGTTTCCGATTTCCCTTTCCTTATTTCCGCAGCGTAGTCGTCACTGCCATTCCGGTCGCCGTCGTCGTCGTCGTCATCGCCGGAAGAATAAAACTCACCGGGGACCACGTCGGCGGCGGTGCGATGAGATGACTTGTGGTGGGTGAGTTCAGGATTAGGGAGGAAATTGTTGCATCCTCGGACGGAGGAGTCACCGGATAGGGAGTGGAAGACGGTAGATGTGCCGCCCTGGTCGAGGCGGCGGAACGGGATATTTTCGACGGATGCCGTCATGGATAACGGTGGTGGTGGGTGAATAAGTGGCGGAGAGAGAGAAAAAGAGAGCCTTTTTGGCCTCTCGGTGGGTGAAACGTCAGGGCAGTTTCTATTCACAGCTCTGCTGAGATTTTTCTGATCAATTTTTGGTTTGTTTTGTTATAATTATGTTCAGGATCCGAAAATGGGTTAGTAGGCCGTTACATATACAGATAATTACTTGCGAGGTGATTTTTGTGAACTCTCAAGTCTCCCTATTTTTAAGAAAACAACGGAGGTTTTTGCATTTTGTTGTAATGACCGGGGAACATTTCATTCAATATTTCATCCATAAATGTTAATAAATATATTTTTTTCCTATTTTTCCTTAATATTTTATGGTAATAACTCTTTGGTCGCTCCTTTTTTATTTTCTTGTTTTTTGTTACTCTTTTTAGAGTATTTTTTTAGAATTTCTTCTATAAAATCGTATAAAAATTTAAAATTGTTTGTATGATATAAAAAATAATGAAATAAAAAAATTTTCTAAAAAAGAAAAAACCGATTAATGGCAAAATAGAAAAAATGGTAATGACAAAATAGGAAAAATGCATTTATTAATTCTTATGGATGAACTATTGGATGAAATGTCTCCTCCAAGTTATTACAATAAAATGTAAGGACTTTTGTTGTCTTTTTGAAAATCGAGGAACCTAAGAGTTATTTCGACAAAGCTTGCGTCACCCGTAAGTAATTTTCTATTATATATAGACGTTTTTTAACTGCAAATTATACTATACAACCGGCTGTATTAAATTTTTGGGTACAGCCGGTAAATCAATGAAAAAAAGGCGTCGATCAGAGAAAAAAGGAGGTGCTCATAGTCAGGTTGGGTCTGAGGAAGGAACCTGTGTCAAAAGAGAAATGCGTCGGATCGAGAGGAAGAAAGCTGTTGTATGGAAGGGAGATGTGCACGGTCAATAGAGGAAGCTGTTGATACTTGATAGGCCAGAGGAGAGATGGGAGATGCTCTATGAAAAAACTAGTGGAAGAGTCGATCAACCTGGATCCGAGGAGAGGGTTGCGGGTCGGGTGAGAGAAAAAAGAAAATTATTTATGCTATGTGATGGGTAATGACCCATGGATATCACCCGGTTGGTTCACCCGACTGGGTGGTGATGTAAGTGATGCTAGTACACCTGGTTGACCGGTCAGCCGCCTGACCGGCTCGATAATCAGAGACGTGCTTGACGTGCTTAGGATTATTATAAATACCCCTAAAAGCCTCATTTGTGAGGCATGCTTTAATTAATCCACACGGCCTGTACTGATTGTAATAAGTTCCTACTTTCATTAATAACAAGCTGGATTACAGGTGTTTCCACCTATAACCCTTCCGATTACTTATACTTAGCATTTGCGTGGTAATTTACACCATCAAATTGGCGCCAACCGTGGGACCTATTACAAAAAAGTCATGACAAACAATCAGGAAACCGTCATCTCACAAATCTCTACTCCCGTTGAGAACGTCACCTCGTTCCCGGGAGGGAGTGCCCAACCCACAAACCAGATTTCTACCCCCATCATCACCATTCCAACACCTACTCCATTCACTTCCCCCGTCACCTCTGTCCCTATTTTTCCTCCAAATTTCCCCGGGCCCATGGACCCGACGTTTTCACAGGCGTTTCAAAATTTTGGACAATTCATGTCCATGTTTCAACAACCGGGAGGATTTTCTCCTTTTATCCCCGGGTTGTATCCACAATCCCTGCCCCAAACTAATAACATCCCCCCGGTCGTTCCGACAAATCTGATCGGGGAGATGGACAAAGCTGGTCCATCCCGGTCCAGAAGGAGTCGGTCCCGGAGGTCGCGCACACAGATCACGCCTGATGGTGATGTGCGCTCAGTCCATAGCAGGGATGAGGATTGGAATGTATCCCAGGCTCAAAAGAAGCTGAAGGGAAAAGCTATTCAACCTGAAGGGTCCAGGAGGTCAGCGTTTCAAAGGCTTGGCCACGAGGGCAGAAATCAAAACCGGCCTGCCAAAGAACGACTAGGAGTGGAAACAACCCCGTTGAGTGCTTTTGATCGCCTGGGTAGAGGGGCCGAGCGAACTGGTCGGACCAGGCGCACGGAACCTCCCCACCGCGAAGAGCCCCAACATAGCCGGGCGCCCCATGGAGAAGAAGAAGCGGAGAGCCACCCTAGGCACACGATCCGCTCCCATGTTGAACAACCCCGGGATCGTGTGGGCCAGGTCGAAGCACATTTGGGGAAGCTGCAGCGCCGGGTGGACCGGGATGAAAAGAAGAAAATCCTGTTGAACGAATCTCCGTTCACAGACCGGGTTCACGAGACCCCATTTCCAAAGAAAGCAAAGTTGGAGGTCCCGAAGTTTACCGGGAATGAGGACCCGGAAATACATGTCAAAACCCTTCATCAAAGTGGAAGGATGATGAGCCTTTCGGGGGACGAAAAATGTTTACTTTTCTTCCAAACCCTCCGCGGCCGAGCTGCTGAGTGGTTTCATAACCTACCGGCCGGTGAGATCGATTCCTTCGATGAGCTGGCCGAGGTGTTCCAAGAGAAGTTCAAGGAAAACTGCACCAAGAGGAAAAAGTTCACCTACTTGAGCACGGCCGGGCAGACGGAGCACGGGGATTTAACGAAATTCCTCACCCGGTGGAAGGATGAAGTCGATAAAGTCGAGGAGATGGACGACAAAACCGCCATGTCCCTCCTAGTGTCCGGACTCCGGTCCGGAGAATTGTATAAAGAGTTCTGCAGGAGACCACCCCTGTCATACCAAGAGGCCTACAACACGGCCTGGGATTATGCTGACGCTGAAGCACACGTGTCATCCAAGAGGGAGGCCGAGCAGGGCCATTCCAAAGGGAAAATTTCCTTGAAAAGGAAATTGAACAGCCCGGGAGGGCGAAGGCGGAAGTCATGGAGGTTAAGCCGGTCAAATCAGAAAAGAACCCGACCGGTGAGAAACAATGGACGGAGAAGTATTGCTCCTTCCACAAAACTGATTCCCATAACACTGCGGAGTGTAACAGTGTGAAGGGAGTAATTAAGCAGATGATCGAGGCCGGGGAGATCGATCCTGAGTATCTAGCTCAGGCCAAGCAAAAGAAAAACCAATGGATCAGGCCTGAAGGGAAGCCGGTCGAACAGAATAAGAAGAAGAAAGCACCCGGTAAAGAGCATTTGCAGGTCATCTACGGTGGACCGGAAGGGGGAGACTCTGGCACTCTGCTTCCCAAAGGAAAAAATGGGGGCGAGAGCTCTACGTCGGGACGGTGGCCCTAAATCCCCGGTCAAAACAGGTAAGACGGGAGCCGATCACCTTTACTGACCGGGACCTCCCCGCCACCAGAGAAGATCACAATGACCCCCTGGTCATAACTATGGACATGGGTGGAGTCGATGTCTCCCGGGTACTCGTTGACACGGGCAGTAGTGTCAACGTTTTGTACTTGGATGCATTTGAAAAGCTCAAGTTGTGTCGGACACGGCTTGAGCCCTTAAAGACTCCCCTGTCCGGGTTCACTGGGGACTCTGTTGAAGCTGAAGGGTCAATCCTTCTGACTTGTGAGTTGGGCACAGGAGACCAGCTCGTCCAAAAACAAATGAGGTTTGTGGTAGTGAACATCAAATGTGTTCACAACGCCATCCTAGGCCAGCCTGGAATAAACAAGGTCCGTGGAGTGTGGCGGACATGCCGGGCATAGACCGATCCGTCATATGCCATCGTTTGGCTGTGATGGAAGGAAGTCGGCCTGTGAAGCAAAAGAAGAGGCACCTAGCGAACGTCCGGAGGGACTTTGTGAAAAAGGAGGTGAAAGATTTGTTGGCGGTCGGGCACATAAGAGAAGTCCAATACCCGGCCTGGTTGGCAAACGTCGTCTTGGCTTCTAAAGGCGACACCTGGCGCATGTGCGTGGACTACACGGATCTGAACAAGGCATGCCCCATGGATTCATACCGGCTGCCCAGTCCCGATCAGATGGTCGATGAGACGGCCGGGTGTGAGTTGCTCAGCTTCATGGACGCCTTCAAAGGCTATCATCAGATCTTCATGGCCAAGGAAGACGAGGAGAAGACTTCCTTCTTAACTCCTGAAGGCACTTATTGCTACCGGGTAATGGCTTTTGGCCTAAAGAACTCAGGCGCCACTTACCAGAGGATGGTAAACCAGCTTTTTAAGCAACTCCTCGGTAGGTCCATGGAGGCCTATGTAGATGACATGCTGATCAAGAGCCCGGGTGCAGAGAACCACCCGGCTGACATGAGGCTTTGCTTTGAGATTATGGCTAAGTACAACTTGCGTCTAAACCCCAAGAAATGCGTCTTTGCTGTGAAGACCGGCAAGTTTCTGGAGTTCATGGTGACCAAGCGTGGTATTGAGCCTAATCCTGAGAAGATTAAGGCCATAACTGAGATGAGGTCGGCTAGTTCATTGAAGGACGTACAACGACTTACCGGGCGGTTGGCAGCTTTGAGCCGTTTCCTCTCCCAGTCCGCTGAGAGGGCTCTGCCTTTCTTCAAAGTTCTGAAGAAGGCAAATACATTCGAGTGGGACCGGGAGTGCGAGGCAGCTTTCCAGCAGTTGAAAGAGTACTTAGTTTCTGATATAGTTCTGTCCAAACCCAAACCGAGTGAGACTTTGTACTTGTATCTGAGAATTTCCCAAAATGCTGTAAGCTCTGTCTTGATAAGAAATGAAGACGGCCAGAGGCCTATTTACTATGTGAGCAAAGCACTTAATGGGGCAGAAAGCCGGTACACTGCCATTGAGAAAACAGCATACGCACTTTTCATAATGGCCAAGAAACTGACCGCGTATTTCCAAGCTCACACTGTGGAAGTACTAACCGATCAGCCACTCGGACCGGTCCTTCGAAATTCAACCTCCTCAGGAAGATTGATTAAGTGGGCGATGATGCTCACTAAGTTCAAAATATAGTATAAACCAAGGACCGCAATCAAAGGTTAAGCTTTGGCAGACTTACTTGTTGAACTGACCGGTCTGGAGCCTGAATCCGGACCTTCCCATACAGTCAAACCGTGGTGGGATATGGCCGTTGATGGGGCCTCTGGACTGAAGGGATGCGGAGCCGGCATAGTCTTCACAACCCCTGAAGGATTCAAGATCTACCATGCCCTAGTTTTTTAACTGCAAACTCACCAACAATGAGGCGGAGTATGAGGCGCTAGCCGGTGGTCTCAGATTAGCCCGGGCGCTCGGAATAAAAAGGATGAGGATCCGTTCCGATTCAAGTCTGGTTGTTGGACAGGTCAATGGTGAGATGGAAGTTAAAGAGGATCGCCTGGCCCGATATAGTGACCTGATCCGAGCACTTCTAAGGGAGTTAGAAGAGTTTCGTCTAACCAGGATACCCCGGTCGGAAAACACTGATGCTGACATGCTTTCAAAATTGACACAAACCTGCCCAGAGAATGTATCGAAGTTGGCAAAGGTTGAGATACTGGACGTACCGAGCGCTGACCGGTTTGAGGTCGTGGCTATCCAGCCCAGCCAGACTACGGCAACCGGGATAATTGGAGCAGATGATGACTGGAGGTACGAACTCATGGAGTATCTGGAGACCGGTCAGAAACCAGATGATGAGGAACAAGCCAGGAAGGTGGTCCTGCGGGCTCCTCGTTTTCAGGTAATCGATGGTCACTTGTACAAACGTGCCATTGGTGGACCTCTCCTACGCTGCCCTACCAACTCGGAGGCTGAACGGGTAATAACTGAGGTGCATGAGGGAGTTTGTGCAGCCCATCAAATGCCCCGCACTTTGGCTCAAAGGATAATATTGCTTGGCTACTACTGGCCGACCATTGTTGGAGATTGTGAGCGGTATGTCTAGAGATGTAGGACGTGCCAGGTTTTTTACAAACATCCCGGCAGACCGGCCACATATTACCAACCAACATCTAATGTCATACCATTTGCCCGGTTTGGGATTGACATTATTGGAGCCTTCCCGGTCGCCCAAGGCGGAAAGAAGTTCGTGATGGTGGCTATTGATTACTTCACTAAATGGATCGAGGCTGAGGCGATGGCTACCATAACCGTGCGGCAGTGTGAGAAATTTGTTTGGAAAAACATTATCACCCGGTTTGGTGCCCCGAAGATCATTGTTACCGACAACGGTCCGCAGTTTCGCAACACCCGGTTCACTGCATACCTTGCTAGCTTTGGGATCAAGCATAGCAAGGCATCGGTAGCATATCCACAAGGAAATGGCCAAGTCGAAAATGCTAACCGGACAATAGTGGACGGGCTGAAAAAGAGATTGGGTGAGGAAGGACACAAGTGGTTGGAAGCCTTACCTCATACGGTCTGGGCGCATAGAGTGACTTCAAGGAGAGCGACTGGAGAGACTCCTTTCGTGCTCACTTACGGATGTGAAGCCCGGCTACCAGTAGAGGCAGAAATTCCAACATTTAGAGAAACCGTGTACCAGCCCGGTCAGAATGAGGCTGACCATCTAGCTGAATTGAATCTGGTGGAAGAACGAAGGACCATAGCAGCTGTCAAGATGGTCGATTACCAGCAGTCAGTAAAGAGGTATCATGACAACCGGGTGGGCCCATGATATTTCCAAGTGCATGATGAAGTCTTACGCAGCAGGGATGCTAGTAAGCCTAATGAGAGAGGCAAGCTAGTACGAAACTGGGAGGGACCCTATCGCGTAAAAGCAATCGTCAAACCGGGCACTTACCAACTGGAGACTATGGAAGGTGGCTGGGTTGACCGACATTGGAACTCTCATCACTTGCGTAAATTCTTTAGATAGAGTGTAATGAGTTCCCTAGACGTCAATAAAACTTTGTTCTTTTCAGAAAAATTGTTCTCATACATTAACCGGTAGTTGGTCAACACACCGATCTACCCGGTTAGATGTCCAATCGAATTGGGCCTCTCAAAAAAAAAAAAAAAGAGACCGGTCTGACCGATCCTACACCTCATCCGTACTAACACGGGAGTTAAAACGATTTGGCTTGACTAAAGGGAGAGCATCCCGGCCAGTTTAAGCCAGACGTTCTGAAGAAAAACTTAAGGCTTACCTTTCCGCAAGGGTGTTAAGCCAATGTGGAAACAAGTTGGCCTTACAAACGCCCGGGCAAATACTCATCCTTTCGAAAAGGACAAGGCAATACGCCATCGCGGGTTATAAACCGACCGGGAGGAAATTAATAAAACTTAAGTCTTCCCGGCCGACCGTAAAATTGTATTTTAAGCCGGGTAATTGCAGCCAGGCTGTTATTTACTAATCTAAACGGTTTAAAATCTATAAGTTGAAAAGAATTAATGAGACATGGAGTAAAGCACTCGGCACACAATATAGAAACGGGGCCACGGGCCATTAATATTAAAAATAATGTTTACAAAAAAGTGCAATCACAAAACGAGGCAGATGATTACATCACAAAATAAATAAAAAAAAGAGAGGAAAAGGCCAGGTGGATCAGATCCCTGGAAATGGAGGGACCGGCTCCTCATCATGAAGCTCGGGCAGAGAGAGAGCCTTGGGCCGAAAACCTTGGATTCGCTGCTCAAGGATGCCATAGAGGGCCTGCCGCTCTGTGTACTGACCGCTCTCGTAGCCAAAAGTGCCGATCTCATCCACGATCCCGGCCGACACCTTGTGCTTGTACAGGCCTTGGAAAAAGCGGATGGCGGTCTCCCGGTCAGGAAGCGCTTGGGCAGCAAACTCATCAGGCGCCTGAACAGCCCATGCGGCAGCCAGAGGAGCCCTTTTTGAGCGCTCTTTTTCCAGCTCATCACCAAGCCGGGCGATCTCCTCAGCCGACCGAGCATTTTCAGCCTCAAGGAGCTGGATCTTGGCCTGGGCTTGCTCATCGGCCTCTTTCGCGGCCTTGAGAAGTCCGTCGTGCTTGGCATAGAGCTGGCGGTAGACCGCGCAGTGCTCTACCCATTTGGCCTCCACCTTCTCCGCCTGGGCGCGGGCAGCCTGGGCATCCTTCCTACACTCGACCAGCATGGCCTCCATCCGGGCCTTCTCCTCATCTTTTGATTTCACCAGCCGGGCGAAGTACTCCTCACCGATCCGGCCGACCTGCTTTAAAGACATGAAAAATTTTAGAAAAATGTCGGAAGCAATAAGAAAACGGTAAAAAGGGAGAAAGGGAGATTACCTCATTCAAGTCAGCCCGGAAAGCTTGGAAAAGCGCTTCGTCTGACCGGGACATCAGGGCCACAGATCGAAGCACGATTGGCCCCTTGCCAGCTTCGGAGGACTGGGGACCCTGATGGGATGGCTGGTTGACCTCCTCGGTCTTCCGCCTCTTCCGCTGAAGGGACTCTCCAGCAGCCTCTTCCTCGCCTTCACCATCCTCGTTGGGTTGGCCTGCCAACCCGGCCTGGGATGTATGCCCGGTCTCCCCCATCAGGGTGTCCAACTCGAAGGTATCTACATTAATGTAGAGTTCCCCCGAGTGAATGGGCTGGTTGGTCCCCTGATCGGATTGGGCCAGCTGCTCTTCTAGTGAGAGGGGTCGGCTGGATGGAGGGTTGAGTGGCTAAGCACTGGAGGGCTCCTCAACCACTATCTGAGGAATGGCGAACTTGGACTGGAACTTCACCACTGCAAGAAAAGACACCGGTTAGAAGAACAGCGATAAAAAGGAAAAATGGAAGGAAAATAAGGGTAGTTGATTGACCTTTCTCTTTCTTCTTCTTTGCCAGGCATGAAGGACCGGCGGTGGCAGTGGCCAGTGCTTTGGATCCCCTCACCCAGCGGACGGGGATGGCTTCGGGGATCGCCCCGGGAAGGACAATCTCCGGCTCAAGATCAGTCTCCCGGCCGGGATAAACACTCCACTTCCCTACATGGTACAGGCTGCAGGTGGAGGCATCCCCGGCCCGGAGAGTGGCTTCCCAAGCAGGCAGGTCATCAGCCTCCGCTGGTTTGACCTGGCGCTTCATTCTCTTCCCCCAGACATTCTGGGCAAAAGGAAAAGCGGCCGGGGGAAATTTGATGGACACCTATTTGTCCTTCCACTTCTTGTTAGAAGGAGGAAGGCCACAAAGGAATGCCCGACCTTGATGAGAAGACACTACAACGAATCCAAGGGTTTCCTTGGACCTAGGCCGGACATCGAACATATGGTCGAAGAGACGAAGGGAGAGAGGAATACGAAGAAACCGGCAGACATTGATGAAACTGCCTAATAGACGGTGACCTTTAGGGGCCAGCTGCCCGGGCATGATACCGTATGTCTCAAGGAAAAGGAATTTGAATGGGTGAATAAAGAATTCACCCAGGTCCTTGATGGAATGGTAATGGATACCAATCGACGTACCGACATGGAGAGAAATAATGCTCTTCCACGTTGCCCGGTAGGTCGATTGGTACCCATCCGGCATCAGGTTGCGCACCTCGTGGACTTGGGCCTTCTGCATGACCGACGACTGCGTTTGGAGCAACCGGTCGTCCAGCTGAATAAAACCCTCATCCCCGGGTTGGGCAACCGAGACCACTTGCGCCACGGAAGAAGAAGGAGCGCAAGTGGAAGCATCAACCGGCTTCTTCTGTGGAGAAGTAGCCAGGTGCTCAGAATCAGAGGATGAAGAAGAAGAGGAACCGGAAGTCTGAGACCGGTCGCCAGAACCGTAAGAATGGGCGGAAGGGTTCTGGCTGTCTTCGCGATCAGACATGACTCAAAGAAGAGGAAGGAAAGAAACTTACTTGGAATAAGAGGACTTGGAGGACTCGTGAAGAAGCAGAAGCAGCCGGGCAGTTTTTTAATTGAAGATTTGCAAGTGAGGAAATCCTAGGGAGAACCTCGCTTTATATAGGAGAGGTGCAGCCCAGACGGACGAACGAAAGAATGACACGTGGCAGCTAAAATGATTTGCCATCATAACTTCTCGGGGAGACGAAACGGCACAATAAATCGGCGGCTCTGTACCCGACTTCGAGAAGATTCTCCCGCTTTGGACACCCGGTTTTTGAAAATTCAAATTTCAAATTTCAAATATTTTGGGTTGGCACTGGTTTTCTGAGACGATTTTCCCGCCAAAAAGCGACTGGGCAGTTCAAATTTCAAGAGATGGTCGCATATGCTTCCCGCCCCTGATGGTCCCCACAGGACCGGGAATCGTAGGACTCCTTGATGGGTAATGACCCATGGATACCACCCGGTTGGTTCACCCGACTGGGTGGTGATGTAAGTGATGCTAGTACACCTGGTTGACCGGTCAGCCGCCTGACCAGCTGGATAATCAGAGACGTGCTTGACGTGCTTAGGATTATTATAAATACCCCTAAAAGCCTCATTTGTGAGGCATGCTTTAATTAATCCACACGGCCTGTACTGATTGTAATAAATTCCTACTTTCATTAATAACAAGCCGGGTTACAGGTGTTTCCACCTACAACCCTTCCGATTACTTATACTTAGCATTTGCGTGGTAATTTACACCATCACTATGGATTTTACTTAGTTAGGTGGTCAATTGGTTGGGACAATACATCAAGATCCTTTTACATTTGGCAATCATTGACGATCGACTCGTACTTGATTCTCTAACTCGAGACATTTATGTCCAACCTCCTAAAGCTTCAAGTATAGCGTTCATTTTTGAAAACTAACTTTGAAATTGGCATCAGAAATTGCTTTGTCATGAAAGAATATCAAGATTATTTTCAAAATATATCAAGAAGATAACAATAATTAGATAATCATCATATAATACAAATCGCGGCCTAGTATCGGGTGTTAATAGCTTTCACTTCATATAAGCTCTCGGAGTTACTCCATGACTTGGTCAAAATAACAAGCAAACGATTTGAGGCATTCAGCATCTGGTACGGTACCTGGGTACCACCTAACAGTACCTTGGTCTTGTCCGGAACCTGGTTTGTCTTTGAAGAATGATTGTGACGGTAGTCACCTACTATTAATTAATAGGGACCTACCGCCCCCTGTTAAAATTTTACAAATAAAGTTCAAAACTCAGTTTCGGGTTAGAAAACTAATTCTTCCTAGGAAAATGCTAGGGGTACACCAAAAGTGTTCCCCAAACATCCCCCACCTCCTCCATCACCACAAAAAAAGCAAGAAAAATTCAAAAAAAAAATAAATAAAAAATAAAAACAAAATAAAATGAATGGTAAAGAGAGAAGTGGTGTACTTTTGGGGTACACCTTTAGTGTACTCCTAGCATATCCCTTCTTCCTAATATTCATGAATATTCTAGCACACAAACACAATAATTTGAGTATTGAAATGTACTTGGTCCTTCCTTCATCAATCAATATAATCAATTTTAACATAAATCACCATTAAATAATCATAATAACCATATATTAACACATCATAATAACCATATATTAACACACACACACACACACACACATATATACATATATATATATATATATACATATATACATATATATATATATATATATGTGTGTGTGTGTGTGTGTGTGGTTCCCCTCTGTAGAGATGGTCACACCGTTGATTGGCGAAATACATCACCCGGGTTCGATCCTCAGAAGGGACGACTTTGGGAGAATTTCAAGAGAGTTAAGCGTGCTGGCCATGGGGTAACAGAAATGATGGGTGACCCCCTGGGAAGTGTTTGCAGATTTAGGGGGTTAGGCTTTAGATTGGGGTTTCATTGGGCTTATTATAGTGGGCTATCTGCCTCGGGTGTTTAACGGGCCCCGGGGCGATCACGAGGTTAACGGACCTCGGGCCCCCTGCTTGTAACCGACCGTTCCAATAATATTAATAAAAAATATAAAAAATACATACATACATACATACATACATACATACATACATACATATATATATACTCCCTCCGTCCTAAAACCATCTTCCCACTTCCCTTTTTTCTCCGTCCTAAAACTATCTTCCCACTTTGAAAAAAGAATGTGTGAATGACTATTATACCCTTCTTATCTTTACTAGCCCGCTTTCCCACCCACCACCCCCCACAAATTTTACTCTTTGCTCTCTCGTCTCTTCCTATTCCTCTCTCCATTTTTCCTCTCTCCATCATCATCTTTCTTCATCTTCCTCCTAATTTCTCCTCTCCTTAGTCATCTTTCTCCACTTCCTGCGCCCCCGCGGCCGTCTTCGCCGCTGCCCCGCCGCCGAAAGGCGGAGGATGCGAGTACGGAAGGGTTTTCGTCTACAATCTACCGCTGATGTTTAACCCCCGGGACTTGATTCCTAGGAACTTGACGGATCTGGATCCGTAGAATTGGTAGAGCGGGCTTAACATTAACGATGGATTGGGGAAGAGGACCCGGGCGCTCGCCGAGATCTTGCCGATGAATGTTGCTTGAGTGTTTTCAGATCTGCAATGTTGGGTGAAGTGGAAGAGTACTTTGGGCTTTTTGGGAAAGTCAATGCATATTTTACACTCCCTTAAAAATGGCATATAGTCAATGTGGGAAGATAGATATATTTTACACA